TGGAGGGGGAGGGAGTAACCAAAGAATTTATATGCATATATGCACAACCCAAGGACAGGGACAATGGTGGGGAGAGGGACTGGGGAGGAGGGTGGAACGAGATGGAATGAGTCATTGGGGGAAAAAAGGGACATCTGTAATATTTTAAACAAAAATAAATTAATTAATTAAATAAAATAATTTTACATATGGTAACACGGGGACTCTTCCTTTTCCCTATTTGCTTTTTTTCTTCCAAATTTTCTACAATGTATGTGTATTATATCTATAATTTTTAAAACTTAAAAATATATTAATAACTCACAGTGCTCTGGATTTGAAAATGGATTGCAGTATATCCCAATGGGAGACTTTGAGCTGAACTATCAAGTTAATAACATGCCCATTGGGGATTTAGTTCCCATGATATGACTCCTGCAAGAGCAAGAGAAGCACATTTTAACTTGAGTTAATTCACATAACTAAAAAATCATATAATCTCTCTACATTTTGTACAGTTCAGGGTATTTTGTTTTGGTTTCTCTGGGACAGAATTCAGTGGTTTTATTTACTTTAAAACTCTTAATCAATCAACTAAATTTGGAAAAGACTTTAGGGATAGATTTCTTGCCAATAGTTGTAAAAAAATCCATCAATGGCTGGCCTCAATTGTTGCTAAATTACTGTAAATTACTCTTCAAGTTACTCTCTTTTTTTCAGGATTGAATCAAAATGTAATACAACTAACATTTTAAAAAGGCAAAATGCAGAGTTAAAATACTTTTGAGCTACCTTCCAAACTCGGTTACCCTTTTTCTTAATAATTTTTTAGGATTAGGTCCTCCAATATAATTTTTTCTCATGAGCAATGAAGACGTTTTAACATAATGAATAGTTTGACTGCTAATATCTGCTATTTTCTCTTCAAGTAAATAATTACAAAGAACACAGGGCTTGAGTCTGTGTTTATTGATATAAAGAACTCTTGCCAGAAGGGTACACATACCCAAAAAAGTTTAATCAGGGTATTATAGATCTTTGGATTACACAGTATAAACTGATTATGAATAGGGGGTGATTAATGTACCAGAATAATACTGTAAGAAGCAGAGTGGATAAGAATACTCTTTTGATTCATGGATTTTCTACTAAAAATGTTGTATTACACAATAACTACCTACCTTCTTCTTCTTTCTAACTGGCAAGGTACTTTAGGGACTTTGGATCAAGATGGTGTAATAAATTGAAACTTCGATGTACCCCACTGCTCATACAGGAATAGCAGATGCATTGGAAATCATGTTTTTAAACTTTGAGTATTGTTTCTGATTGTTTTGTCACAGCTTTCTGTTTTTATTTTATTGTGGTCATATTTTCTTGAATCTGAGTGTAATAATTAAAGTTTGTGTGTGTAAATGTTTAATTTTGTATGTTCTTTTTACAATTATCTTTTGTTTTCTCAGTTATCACCATTTACCCCACTGTGTCTTGGGTTTCCTTTTTTACGTTGCCTGTTTTCCTCACATGCCTGCCTGGCTTGGGCTATCTGTTCAGCTCTAAGAGCCTATACTGTTTATCTGAGAGCCTGGTGTGGGTTCCCTCTGATGTTACATTTAAGTGGATTTAAGTAGGGTGGGGGTGTTTTGTGTTGTATTTTGTTTTTCATAAATCTCTCTGGAGTGAGAAATTGTACTGGGAGCATTTGTGCTTAGGTGTCAGCTATAGGATTTCAATTTAGAGTGAGTGGGTAGGGAGCCAGGCAGGGAACCTCCTAAATGTCAAAGAGGTAGAATTTATGGTAAATTTTCACTCACACTAAATGCCTTGAAGTTCTCCCTTAAGGCCTGTTCAACTTTTGAGGCAAACAGCCCACAGGTTTTTTGCAGAAGGGCAAACTCTGGCTGCCTGTCATCTATGGATGGGGCACTTTCACTGAGATCTCCTGACTTGGAGTCTCTGGAAAATATCCAAAGAGAGCCTGGCTTTCTGTTCCTCTCTTATCAAACAGATGATCAGAAAGTAGCATATCTTCATTTCCCACCCAAAAGAGGAAAACTTCACCGATTAAGATAGAATGTTATGTACTCAGCTTTGAAAGAGCCATTTAAAGAAATGTTTACCACTTAAAGGGTATCTGGGGATCTTTGCCAAACTGTATTTCCCATGATGTCCTTCCAAATCCTCTATATAGTAAAAACCCATCATTACAGCTCGGCTAACTAACTTCCACAGGCTCTAAAGGCTCACCCAGCCAGTATAGCTGCACAGTAATATTATCTCTGAGCCAATGGGAGCTNTCCTCTATATAGTAAAAACCCATCATTACAGCTCGGCTAACTAACTTCCAGCTCTAAAGGCTCACTCAGCCAGTATAGCTGCACAGTAATATTATCTCTGAGCCAATGGGAGCTCTCTTTACCACATCTGAAGGCCTCATCAAAGCAACATACGTGATAAAGGAAAGACAAAAGTTGGATAAGTCATCATGATATACAACACCTTTGAAAAGGTCTTTCAAAGACCTTTGGAAAAATGGACATTGCTCCATTTGCTGTAATCTGGGTACAGAATACAGGCAGCACACTGAAAACCCAGGTGCAGGGTATCTCAGTGCCAACCTCTACTATGCCCACACTAAGACCAATTTCCCTGGGAGCTAGTTTCCCAGGAAACAGATTCCGTCCCTCAAGTGATTGGTAAGGAGGTCAAGATATTTTCAGAATATCACACTTTGGATTCAGAAAGATTTGAGGACTCTGAATCTCCACCACTTGCCTACTGGGTGATCTTGAACAAATTACTGAAAGTCATTAAATTTTAATTCTCTCATCTTTAAAATGGGGGTGATGAGTTCTTCCTTATAAAATTGTATCAGAAAGATTATAAGAATAGATATGATTATGTGGCACGGAGGAGGAATTACAAACTACGTAAGTGTTTAGGAAATAAGCAAAATGGAGGCCTCCAAAATGAGAAAAATGATTGCATAAAAGCATTTAGTTCGACAAAAGAAAGTTGTTGAATTAGTCATCTTGATAAAAAATAAACTTAGTATTTATATGTTCTTTAATAAAATGCTTGTTGACCCTTTGTTATTGTCCTATTTTGAATTAATTACATACAGGAATGCCACCAACGAACTCTCAGAGCTAGTCACTGGATATTGGTCTACCTCTGGCTTCCTCCGCCATCCCTGGCCCAGCTGGGACCCCACCCAAACACCTATACTCAACCGTTTTTACTAAATTGGTCATGTCCCAATACTGTGAGGATGCCCATTTCTATGTTTGTTGTGTTTATTTTTCACCTGTGTCGGTCTAGTTCACATTTTTCTATTTTGTTCAGGGTACCATCAAGCTCACAGACCTGGGTAACTAATGGGCTTTTCTGTTCTGTTGTATGAAAAAAACCAAAATTTTAAAAAGTAGAAAATGAATTACAAGTGCATAAGTGATAAATTTAAAAAACATATAGTGTGACTCACAGGTATTCCCCTCTTTGACTTTCTCTCTATGGGATGAAATTGATGCACAGCAAAGCACACCAGGTAAGTGCTCATGGGGACAGACTTCTGGAACGTTGTTCGAATCCATTTATCATCCACCGGCTCTTCTTTCTATTGAAAATCAAAGATAATCTTTTATTATCAAAAAACCAATCATGTACAAAGATAAATGATTGCTCAGAACCTGACTTTCTAGTACTTTCTAGTATTTTCAGTACTGTGAAACAGTGATTGAACTATACACTGTCTCTCGGGCAGAAACACAATTTTGACTGTGACATAAACTGGACAGGAGTTCAGTTATCTTTCTACATGAAACACAGAATCCTGCCCATAATATTTAAGGAGACACTGTGATTCCTTAACGAAGACTTAGGCTGGTGCTCAAAGCCTTGCCCAGAGGAAGAACTAAGTAGGTATTTGCTGATTTGAGTACGTGCAGGAGGGCAATGAGTTATACCGGGCAGAGTAGGATGTTATATTCTCTTTTCCTTCTCTGGTTGTCTACATTGAAGACCCAAGGTGTGGTCACTAAGGTCACTGTCTGGGTTACCACGGAGAGAGAAGGATTCCATTGCTTGGTGCAGCTCCTGATCCCATCTCTCTGGGTTTCTCTCCACGCCAGCTTTGCTTCCTTACTGCCAACCACCTGTCAGACTACTCCATCTATGACTGCTTTCCCACCTCCTGCTGCCCACTGTTTACACATTCCCACATGCCCTCCAGCCACACAGTAAGTCACAGGACAGCGAGGAGCTTTAAAAAGGGATTAAGCGAGGGAGGCTGAGCCAGAAGTGATGCCCAGTTGACAGGGCAGGCGTGCGCGCACATGTGCTTGAGAGGGGGTGTTGCAGCTCCAGCGAAGACGCTCTGCAATGAAGACCTACTGGTGTTAGTTTTGATCTCCTGATGACCCAGACGGTCTCATTCTTCCAGGCCTTTCGGAAGTATACTCTGTGAAAGTTCAAGGTCCTATGGGGAGGTCTGAAGCAGAAGCTAGTAAAGGTTGCTCTTTCTCCCACCTTCCCCTTGCCCTTTCCATGCCAAGACATTCCAATGGCAATTTACTCGGACCCACTTTCTCACTGGTGTCTCACACTTGAAGTTTATCCTGTCCTTTCTTCTCCGATCGAAACTCAACTGCTCAGGCGCCTGACACCGGAAGAAAGCAAGTTGACCAACTAATTCACGTGGAGGCATAGATGGATGGTGGCAGTCGCTTTTTAATCCTCTTAAGATTTCGTTTTATAGTGTTCTTGGTATTTTGGAGGAATATTTATAATAAAAAGAGATGCATTTCAGGGATGATATTTCACATAGTAGATGAGAAAGATGGGATATATCATCTTGACAGGGTGTCCTTCTGATACTAGGTAGCTGAGAATGCTATCTAAGGACAGGCTTGGCCCTTTTACATGTCAAATGTTTAAGGTATAATATGCCCCAACTTTGAGGTACTGACACTTTAGTTAACTACATTACCCATTATGGGGATGAAGAACAGAAACAGAGGAAAGGGTCTTATGTTAATAATCATACAGATAGGACTTATTGTGGCCTTTTTTTTTTAACATTTAATGAGCATGTCAAATTCATTATGGGTATGCTGTTCCCCGGGATTGGCTTCTACATTCCAATATTTAAGTCATGATATTTTGCAGTATCTCTATTTTTAAAACTGGCTTTATATTCAAATACAAACCAAGAATAGTGGTGAGGCCCTTGACTACTTTTCAGTCTGCAATTCCTTTACTTTGCCATGAATCTGTCATTCTTTCAGTTAAGCAGAGCCCAGCCGATCTATGGCTACTGTGTTCTCTCCTGCTTAGAAAGCCCAGCGTGGCTTTTTGACTGGATTGTGATCTCTTGGGTTAAAGACTTCCAGGAGTCAAAGAAAAGAGATTGCCAAAATGTATTTTGAAACCCCTAAAGTGGTTAGAGCACATTTAATTTTAGAATTCTATGGGGTTCTTTCATAGCAAATCAGATAATTTACCTGATATTTTAAACAGACTGTCTTCATAAACAAAAAGTTTGAAAATACTCACCTCCACTGGCATATTTGAAAGTGCCTTATAGTCTTTGGTGTGGATGATAGATATCGTATAAGTTGCCTTTTTGTTGGGCTCATCAAAACAAGGGAAGGATTTCCTGGCATCTGTTGGTTCATGATCAGTGGCTGCTATGCTCCTTGGAAACAAACACACAAACAAACAAAATATATGTTGTCTCTTCTGACAGCCCCTATGTTTCTATCCCTATAGAAAAACTTCAACTATGTAATTATATCCCTTACATTTCTTAAAATGAGTTTCCATCCACAAACTACCAAATAGTTGCCAAAGTCTTTTCTGGAATGTTTAGGTTTAACAGATAAATGAAAGTCCAGAGATAACTTCAGATATTTTCTATGACTATTTGGATAGTTTGGTGCCATAATTAAAAATATGTGAATGATAGATGAGCAAAAATAAACCTACTTATGAGCTATCACTCTCTTCATTACAAAGTTGTCGAACAAGCAGATAATCACAAAACTAACTCAAGGGCTTGTCTCCAACTGCCTTGAGAGAGTGAGCAGCGATGTTCTGTCACAGAGCAGAGGAGCACGTCCCAGTCCCAGCTCCTGTCCTATTGGCACATTCTTTCTTAATGTTACACCAGGGACAAAACCCAGCTTCATTTCCATGCAAAGGCAGTGCTCCGAGTCATCTCCCAGGTGAAGCAGACTTTGGCCAGGTTTAAAGCCCATTTTTGAGCCGAGAGCATTTTTTATGGCTCTAACTAGGCACATGCTTATGTAAGCAAAAATGTTTATGTTTAATGTTTCCATCATTTCAAAGAGGAAATACTTTTTCTGAGAAATTACTCAAAAAAACAATAATAGTGAATATATACTTTTTATGTAGTCATATCACAGTAAGATAGTATTAGTATATTACTCATTAGAAGAGTAAGCCAAATTAAAAAGATAAAAGCAAGGAAAGAAAAAAATGTTGACTTATATTCATTAATAATGTGTAAGGAAAATATTTTGTCCTTCAAGATCCTCAGAGACTAAGGAAGGTATATCACAAAGATTTCCAAGCTAAATTATTAGATCACTTATTCATTCAACAAATATTTATTGAACGCCTTCCTTCTGTACACTACACACACACACACACATACACTCTCACACACACACATTTGCTAGGCATTATTCTAGGTGCTGAGGGAATGACAACAGTGAAATAAATAGATATACAAATAGATAAAAACAAATCCATAAATGAAGAAGTAAATTAAAAAATAAGGAACGTGATGGGAGCTCTGTACAAAATAAAACAGGGGGAGTGACAGAATAACTCAGGAAAAGTAGTGAGCAACACCAAGTAGTCAGGGACAATCTCTTAAAGTAGGGGATGGTTTGCTGAGATCTAACTGATGAGAAAAAGCCAAACAGGTGAGATGAAGGAAAATGTGTTCTAGCAGAGGGAACAGCAAGTGTACAGCCTCTAAAGTGGAAAAGAACTGCATGTGATCGAGAACCTGAAAGGTGTCCAGTGTGGCTGAGGCACAGTGAACCAAAGGGACTGGGAAAGGAGGAGTTTCGAGAGGCCAGCAGAGGCCACTATAAGAATTTGGATTTCCTTTGGGTTCAAGGGTCTTTTATATGCATTAATTTACTTAGAAAATAGTATGTCATAGCTCAATATCCATCTACAAGAAATTAAAATATTTCTGAATTTCTTTAAAATATCTCTCTAGATATGAAAATTACTTGTTAAAAACTCAGCCAAGAAAACTAATCTATGTTAAAAAAACACACAACTAGCCCGGCCAGGCGTGGCTCAGCAGCTGAGCATTGACCCAGGATCCAGGTGATCGGGGTTCGATTCCCAGTCAGGGCACATGCCCGGGTTGTGGGCTCAATCCCCAGTCGGGGGCGTGCAGGAGGCAGCCGATCAATGACTCTCTCTCATTATTGATGTTTCTACCTCTCTCCCCTTTCCTCTCTCTGAAATCAATAAAGTCATATTTTTTACAAAATGGTGGCAGCAATAACATTAAAAAAATATATATATATATAAAGAAATCTGTACACTTCCCTGGGGTGTTAAGTTTTCTAGTGAGCTATACCAAGCTCCAATCCTATGTTTTGTCAGCTGCCTTTTTCTTCTGAATTCTTCTGGCTTCTGATTTCTTCCAGAGGCAGATGAAAAGAAAAAGTCACTCTGCAAGAATGTTACAGCTTAGTCACACCTCAGAAATAAGCCAGCTAACTAATTTGGGAATATGTGTGTGTGTGAGTTTGGGGGCGTGTACATGAGCCTGTGTGTGGGAGGTGAGGGTGAGAATTGATAGGGGCACTTATAATGTCCCAAGATTGAGCACCTGAATTAATCTGAAATATAATTATATCACTTATAAATTATAGAACACATATACTTATGTGAGCAGGGATTTAAGTTTCCTTTTCGTTAAGTTTCTTTTTCCTAGGGCTTTGCACCCATACACTCCCCTTGACTCCGGACAAAGCAATTCAGGAGGTGGCGCAGCTGTGGACAGTGTGTCCTTGAACAGCATGGTGAGGCCGACCCACCAGGAGTCAAGCTATCATCTTATGGAGACATCGCCAGACGACCAAGAACAATAGCTGATGCCTGAGGACCTCCAGGGCTGCACAACAGCTGCATTCTATTCCCAGCCTCAGTTTACCCCATTTCCCTATATAACCTCAAGGCCATTCCTTAAGACAGGTTTTGGATGCTCATATGCGCTCTGTCTTCTTGGTTGGCTGGCCTCCTCAATAAACGCCTCATATGATTCAACCCTGCCTCCGCTGAATTGGGCACAGCAACAGGCAGCCTCAACATCACTGGGATTTCCCGGTAACAGAATTACATGTTCCTCAGCATAGCCAGGGGGTAGGTTTTCAAATACTCTTTTCTAGTCTCTACCTTATGCCCCAGCACCCAAGAGAGAGAAGAATTTTCAATCCTTGCCTCGTCTCTCTTTAAAACAGGTTATGTTTGAAATCTCAGAGATACTGTACTTTGGAAGTGAGTCTTTGGGTGGTGTGTTTGCTGGTCATCAGGGAATGCTGATCACTGCAAACTCACTCAATTACAGTGATCTGGACGTACACTGGTGTAGATAAAGTGACATTCATTAACAAGAAGGGTTATAAAATGTGCATTGTTTTTTCTAAATTGTAGAGCCAATAAGATTTCATGGGGGAAATTCTCTTCTAAGAGTAAAACTTCCTAGATTGTAATTCTACTTCTGCCCCTTAAGTGTGATCTTGCACAAGTTACAAAGCCTACGATTCTTCGTGCCCTCATCTACAAAAGCTGGTTACCAGAGCACATCTGGCCTCTTCATAGGGTTGAGGGGACAGAGAAGGGGTGGGTCACAGGTAGTAATATATTTGAAACTCTCCTGAATTTACCTAATGGGATTAGGATACACCTCATTCTATTTTCTTAAATTCTACAAAGCTAACTATACTTCCTTTTTTCTTTTTTTTCTTTTTTCTTATTCACACACAGCACATGCAACTTTAATCAACCAAAGGAAAAAGTCCCAAAAGTAGATGCCACTTCTTGGTGGAGACACCAACACTTCAATTCACATATCTTAAAAAAAAAAAGAAGACTATTTCTAGGATTGACAGCACTGTGAATCCTGTATTCAGACCCTGTAGGCTCCACGCAATTGAAGATGCTTTCAGCCTGCAGACCACACCAGGTGCTCAGGCCAGCCTGGAACAGCTTTGCACAGCGCTCCAAAGGAAAAGCTGTAAACCAGCCCGAGATGAGGAAGCCGAGTCCTAACCAGGGAGCCACCGCAGGCCCAGGCGTAGGTGACCCTAACTGTGCTTTCTGATGTAGCACCTTCCACAAGCAACAGACTTCAAAATTCACTCATTAGACACCAGTATCTGTCCTGAAACAAAGTTAGTTTTTTAAAATTTGTGTGTAAAAACTGTAGGCAATATAACAATTAAAAAAAATAACTTATTTTTCTCATGAAGTCTTGTGTAACTCAAAAGCTCCTATTTAAATATGCTAAATTCCATCCCAAGTTTACTAACGTTTTGTAAATATGTGCAAATTTGAAAACAAGGTATTTGGGATAGCAACACAAAACAGATCGCAACTTCTTTAGAGAGGTTTTACTGGGTGATTAATATTTTTTTCTTTTTAAAATCAGCTGAATTATGTTGTAAATTAATGGGAAAAGTCTGGCTAACAGCACAGTATGTTTAGGAGTGGCTGCAGGGTCTGTCCTGAATAATCCCCATGCCAGGCAAACTGCTGAGTAAAGCACTTTTCCCTGAGGGCCTCTCTATGCTACATTAATAAGCCCCTCTCGAGGCCCAGCACATTAAAAATATAATTCTATGTAGCTTATTAATTTTTAAAGAGCCACCCCTTTGACTTCTCTGAGTATGTCACATCAAGGTGACTTTAGAGAAAGCTGAAGAAGAGAGGAGGTGACGGTGCAAGTCACAGGCCAGTTCACCCAGAATCAACTTTAAAAAAAACACCAAACTACTTGATTATCTCACAAATCATCTGGCATACTATTTCCAATGAAGACTCTCAGGCTATATTCAACAATTTAATAACTTAATTCAGGAAAATAAGTAGCAAGGTCTAGGTGAAAACCTTAAACAAAAGGCTTCTGATGCGAGCGAGCGGTCGCGGCGGCTCGGCGTCTGTGCAGACTAAAGCGCTGCTCCGGATTTAAGCAGGGCAGCCGGTCAGAACGGGACAACCCTGCAGCCTGTTCCGATGCCAACATGCTTTTGGTGGTTTGAATGAATCCGTTAATTATTTAACTTTTTTCCCCGATTGTTTTTTTTCCTATGTAGAAGACATTCAAGGTCAAATTACTAAGGAAATTACTATGGGGAATTGCTAAGCTCCTGCAACAAGTAAACAAGACCAAAAAAATCAGTTTTTTATTGATCATGGCTACTGATAGCTCGACATATCAATCTAAGAATATAATGAACTGACATACGACTAAAATTTCAAGATCAAAACTACAAATGAGTAAACACATCCACGCTTGTGAGAACATAGCACACAACACATTTAGCACCATCCCACTTATTTCTTTTTAACCTAATCTCCACTTAACTCCTAAGTCTTTACGACAAGCTTTAACCTCGTGCTTCAGACTTATTTATCCCAGGG